TGGACAAACAGGGAAAAAGTGGAGGAATTAAAAATGTTAAATGATTCATATTTAGAAGACCTGATTCAGTCCTGGTTAATGACATTGAATCTCTGGTGGGTTTCAGCTGGATTGGGTGTTTTTCAGTTTTCTGTCAAGAATAATTGGATTAATTTTCTTATTGTGAAGGAGTTTTCCCTCAGGATGAGGTTACAGTTCAGCAGTAAAAGTAATTAAGTTCCTTTTTTTATTAATGCTCTTCAGTGTCCGTGATGATGTATTAAAACTGTTTGATGATTTTCAAAAAAAGAACATCATCAGGATTGTTAATTTTACTTCTCTGTTATGTTTGCTGAAAAGCCACATCTTGTTTGTTAAAAACGTTAATACCCCGAAATCGTTTTCCTCCATAATAACTGCAAATAAAACTTGACTCCAGGGCAGGCCTGGTTTTAGCTGTTGTTGGTGTTGATGTGTAGCTGGGAGCTGTGTTTAAACAATGCGTGAAACCCAGCTGACTGGTCTGAACACAGAGCTGTATTGTTTCACACGTTCAGTCTTTTCTGCTCTCCGTTCATCTTTACAGTATCATTTCATTTGTTGGCAAAGGCTTACAGGTATCGTTCATACACATAAAAGGAGCCTGAGATAGGTTGCATTACGTCTTTGTGTTGTTGGCACGCTAGTTAAAAAAAAATACATTTTGTGTTTGAGTTTCAAAAAATCTACCTATTTAAAACTATCTGAGTTGTTACTGATGTTATGATTCATTGAAGTGTTTGAGACATAAGGGCTGCACAATATTGGATGAAACTGATGTTGCAATTTTGAAGCTCCAGTTCCAATCAGGTGTGTAAAATCAGAGAGATAACCACAACCTGAGTACAACTGATCTAGACCAGTGTTTCCCATAGCTGGGGTCGGGACCCAAAGTGGGGTCCCGAAACATCAAGGTGGGGTCCTGAAAAGATTTTTTGAATTAATTATATTTTTGCCTTAGTTGTTACAAAGGAGTGAGGTTAGTATATTTAAAATGGATAAATGTAGTATAAAAATATTGTTACTATGCCCATGTTTTGTTGACCTGATACAAATGTTTATCATCCAAAAATACTTGTGGGCACAGGTCTCTGCTACTGTTATTTTGTGGATCAAAAGCTGAAAGGTTTGGGAACCACTGCACTTTGGTTCCCAAAGTTGGACTTGGGACCCAGTTATGGGTCATGAAGCACCTTGGATAAACTCCAGAAATCAATTTAAAGGGTAATAAATTAATTGCTAATATAATATTTTCCCTACAACTATTACAAAAACACAAAATAAGTATATATATTTGTGTACAAGCTGTTTAAATTGTCAAAAAGCCTGTGTTTTTAGAGTTATTAACAAAGTTTGTGTCCTCTGACAGTAATATTTGGGGTCACAAGTTTTTGCCATGGATATTTTGTGGGTCAGAAGATAAAAAGTTTGGGAACCACTGATCTAGACTCTCGGTCCTCACTCATCTTAAGCTTGGTGTTGTGCTCCAGGCCTGTCCAGTTCTCCTTGGCGTTTCCTTGAGTTACATTCTGGTCAGCTTTCATCAGCTTTTTGTTGTTAAATATTCAGTTGATATTCGAGCTACTTACTGTGAAACTAAACACTGGGAGATAGACAGGAGAGCGTGGAGTACAGAGTCAGGGTTGTTCAAGGAAACAGTTGAAACTGGTTGAAGAACTTCTGCATCTCACCTTGTTTGTTTGTTTTTTTCTTTCCTCCTTGTATCTCCTTTAAGTTGCTGCATGTTTGCCTGTGGGCTCATTACAAACACGACCGTCTCGTCCAAACTTTGAGAAACGATCTCTATTTTTACATCAGGCGCTTGGAGGCTTCCTGAGGTGTGTCACTGCGCCTCTTACATTTCCACACGTTGTGTATCCGACCCACTTTAAGTCCAGGAATGTCGTCCAAAAACAGCAGTCCACAATCACTGACAGAAAAAAAACTCTAATCAGGATTTAGATGATGATGACAGAGAACAACCTGGCCTGTCTCTATGCCTCTGCTTCTCTCTGTCACTGTCTCTCCACACCGTCCACTGTTGAACACTGTTGATGCAGTTGAGAGGCCTCATATATAAATATATTAACAAACACCATTATGTCATCTTAGCACGATTTGATACAAGGTCAATGGAAAACACAAAGATAAACACAAGTGATATCTAAGAATGACTGTTGTTAGCAAATCTTGTTCTGACTTTAATCATTCTGTCTGCAGATGAACCGCATGTCATGAAAACCAGGTCATTAAAGGATGTCATGAATTACTTGCTTAAACATAAAAGTATTAGTTCCATTACAAGCTCTAACTGCAGTTATTTAGAAAGAAGCTGACAGCAGGGTGAGGAAAAACATGAACAATAACGTGTTACAGATTAGGAGCTGAAAAGGTTTATTTTACCTATTGTTCTGCACTGACCTAAAAAGCAAATATTTAGGTCTTTATACTTTCTTGGATGACTTTTATTTCATAACATGCTCTGTTTGCTCAGCTGAAACATGTCCTTAATCCCAAGCCTTCCAAAATACACGATTATAATCTCACTGCAAATTATTTGTCACATTCTGAAACTTATATTTTAACCTTTAGTTATTTAGATTAGCGATGAAACTCACAATAACTGTTTCTTTCAAGTCACAAAACCAAGTGATTTATCAACAAATTGTTGTATATTTAAAGGTTATTTAAATTAAAGAAGATATTTTCAGCTGATAGGGGAAGCAGAACTAATTAAATTTCAACAAAAGTCATCAGGTACATCACATCTACTCAGTTCTGGTTTTGCTAGCTCCTCCATAAACGACCGTTTTATTGTCAGTATTTAAATTGATGTCATCCATTTTCAGTGCTCCTAGTATAGTGCAGTAAGTGTAATCACCATACTCTAAGATAATGCCCACCATGATTATAATAATAACCTGTTGGGACATTTGATTAGTCAGTAACTACTCACTTCCTGTTAGATAATAAAACTCCATGTCTAGGTATCGTTATCACCTGAGTCTGAAGGCGAAACATATATATAT